CCCCCAGGGCCATCCCGAGACCCCCAGGGCCACCCCAGACCCCCGAGACCCCCAGGGCCATCCCGGGACCCCCAGGGCCACCCCAAGTCAAGACCCCGAGACCCCCAGGGCCACCCCAGACCCCCGAGACCCCCAGGGCCATCCCGGGACCCCCAGGGCTGCCCCAAGTCAAGACCCCGACCCTCAGGGCCACCCCAGACCCCCCAAGACCCCCAGGGCTGTGCTGGACCCGAGACCCCCAGGGCCATCCCGAGACCCCCGGTGGCACCACTGGGGGGTCCGGGGGTCCCTCGGTGTCACCCGGGGGGGGGGGTCTTTGTCCCACAGCTCTGTCGGGGGGTCCCCACCAGACCCCGGCAGCGTGGGGACCCTGCTGTGCCCCCGACATCCCCCCGCTCATGGGGGGGGGGCTGTGCCGGACCCCAACCCCCTCCCCGGGGCACGGGGGGCTCCCCCCACCATGCGGGGGTCCCTGGGGGGGTCCCCGGGGGGGGTCTCTCTCCCCATCCCCGCGGTCCCGGCCGGCGCCTCCCCCGCCCCTTTCCCGCCTTTTCGGTGCCGCTCCCGCCACCTTCGGCTCCGGGACAGGGTTGGGGGGTCCCGGCCGTGCCCCCTCCTCATCCCTTGGGGGGGTCCCGGCTGTGCCCCCTCCTCATCCCTTGGGGGGGGGTCCCGGCCGTGCCCCCTCCTCATCCCTTGGGGGGGGTCCCGGCTGTGCCCCCTCCTCATCCCTTGGGGGGGGTCCCTCCCTTGGGGGGGGTCCCAGCTGTGCCCCCTCCTCATCCCTTGGGGGGTCCCGGCCGTGCCCCCTCCTCATCCCTTGGGGGGGGTCCCTCCCTTGGGGGGGTCCCGGCCGTGCCCCCTCCTCATCCCTTGGGGGGGGGTCCCGGCTGTGCCCCCTCCTCATCCCTTGGGGGGGGGTCCCGGCCGTGCCCCCTCCTCATCCCTTGGGGGGGTTCCCGGCTGTGCCCCCTCCTCATCCCTTGGGGGGGGGTCCCGGCCGTGCCCCCCGTGCAGGGGGAGGGTCTGGGGGGGGCGTGGGGGTCGGCAGGGGGGGCTCCTAATCCCGGCCCCGACGGGCCATGGGTGGGGGACGGCACTGCTGGGCCCCCCAACTCCAGGGGGACCCACCAGCGCTGGATGAGACACCAGGGGGGGTAATGGGGAGCTGTGACCCCCCCTCCCTCTCAAGGGGCACTGCCAGGCGCGTGACCCACCTCCCCCTGGGGGTCTCACCCCCCCCCCAACCTCACCTTTCTGTGTTTCATTGCCCGGACGGACCCCCGTGCCGGCGGCACCGACGGGGGTCCCACCGGGACCACCAAAAACCCCCCGGGGGGGGCTGTGCCCGAGGGACCCCCACGGGGCACATCCCGTCCGTCCCTGCGCCAACCGGGGGGGGGTCCCAGGGGTCTGTTGACCACCAGAGCTGAGCCCCCCGTGACACCACGAGCCGGGCAACACCCAGGGGAACCAAGGGGACCCCCTGGGGACCCCCGAGCCCCTCGGCAGGGACCCCCGGGACCCCAGGGGACCCCCCGAGCCTCGCCAGGGACCCCCCCGGGACCCCGGGACCCCCCGAGACCCTCGGCCAGGGGCAACCCTGGGACACCTGGGGACCCGAGACACTCGGCAGGGCCCCCCTTGGACAACCTGGGACCCCCGATCCCCTCGGAAGGACCCCTGGGACCCCTGGGGACCCCGATCCCCTCGGCAGGGACACCCTGGGGAACCCCTGGGACACCCGAGCACCTAGTCCGGGACCACGGGGAACCCTGGGAACCACCGAGCCCTCGGGAGGGACCCCCGGGACCCCCTGGGACCCCCCGAGCCCCTCGGCAGGGACCCCCTGGGACCCTCGGGGACCCCCTGAGCCCCTCGGCAGGGACCCCCTGGGACCCTCGGGGACCCCCTGAGCCCCTCAGCAGGGACCCCCTGGGACCCCCCGAGCCCCTCGGCAGGGACCCCCGGGGACCTCCTGGGACCCCCCGAGCCCCTCGGCAGGGACCCCCCCGACCCCCCCGGGGCTGTTTCTGGGGGACACGGAGCTGCCGGACGAGGCCTCAGGGGGGGTTTGGGGGTGTCAGGCCCCTCCTGTGCCCCCCCCCCGTCCCCCCACGGGGATCTTTTATCCCGAGCCCGGGATGTTTTCCCGGCACAGCCGTAATTCCCGCCCGACACGGGGCCATCCCCTCCTTCCTCCTCCTCCTCCTCCTCCTCCTCCTCCTCCTCCTCCTCCCTTCCCTCCGGGCCGGGCCGGTCCCTTCCCGCACTTTGCCCGATCCTGCCCCGTTTCTCCCCGTTCCGGCACCGCCGGCCTGGCAGTGTCCGTGTGTCCAGCGGTGTCCGTGTGTCCGGCACTGACCCACCTGGTGTCCAGGGAGCCACGGGCCGTGTCCATGTGTCCAACGGTGTCCGTGTGTCCAGCACTGACCCACCTGGTGTCCAGGGAGCCGTGGGCCGTGTCTGTGTGTCCATCGGTGTCCGTGTGTCCGGCACTGACCCACCGGGTGTCCAGGGAGCCGAGGGACTGGGTCTGTGTGTCCAGCGGTGTCCGTGTGTCCAGCAGTGTCCGTGTGTCCATCGGTGTCCGTGTGTCCGGCACTGACCCACCGGGTGTCCAGGGAGCCGAGGGACTGGGTCTGTGTTTCCAGCGGTGTCCATGTGTCCAGCGGTGTCCGTGTGTCCGGCACTGACCCACCTGGTGTCCAGGGAGCCACGGGCCGTGTCCATGTGTCCAGTGGTGTCCGTGTGTCCGGCACTGACCCACCTGGTGTCCAGGGAGCCACGGGCCGTGTCCATGTGTCCAGCGGTGTCCGTGTGTCCGGCACTGACCCACCTGGTGTCCAGGGAGCCACGGGCCGTGTCCGTGTGTCCCTCGGTGTCCGTGTGTCCATCGGTGTCCGTGTGTCCAGCACTGACCCACCTGGTGTCCAGGGAGCTGTGGGCCGTGTCTGTGTGTCCGTCGGTGTCCGTGTGTCCGGCACTGACCCACTCTGTGTCCAGGGAGCCGTGGGGCTGTGTCCGTGTGTCCAGCGGTGTCCGTGTGTCCGGCACTGACCTACCTGGTGTCCAGGGGGCCATGGGACTGAGTCTGTGTGTCCAGCGGTGTCCGTGTGTCCGGCACTGACCTACCTGGTGTCCAGGGGGCCATGGGACTGAGTCTGTGTGTCTGTCGGTGTCTGTGTGTCCATCGGTGTCCGTGTGTCCGGCACTGACCCACCGGGTGTCCAGGGAGCCGAGGGACTGGGTCTGTGTGTCTGTCGGTGTCCGTGTGTCCATCGGCGTCCGTGTGTCCGGCACTGACCCACCGGGTGTCCAGGGAGCCGAGGGACTGGGTCTGTGTTTCCAGTGGTGTCTGTGTGTCCAGCAGTGTCCGTGTGTCCATCGGTGTCCGTGTGTCCGGCACTGGCCCACCTGGTGTCCAGGGAGCCGTGGGCCGTGTCTGTGTGTCCGTCGGTGTCCGTGTGTCTGTCGGTGTCCGTGTGTCCAGCACTGACCCACCTGGTGTCCAGGGAGCCGTGGGCCGTGTCCGTGTGTCCGTCGGTGTCCGTGTGTCCGGCACTGACCCACTCTGTGTCCAGGGAGCCACGGGCCGTGTCCGTGTGTCCCTCAGTGTCCGTGTGTCTGGCACTGACTGGGGTTGTATCCGTGTGTCCGTTGGTGTCCGTGTGTCCAGCACTGACCGCTCTGTGTCCAGGGACCTGCAGGGCCATGTCTGTCTGTCCGTCAGTCCGAGGAGCAGCAGGACCGTGTCCATGTGTCCATCAGTGTCCGTGTGTCCGGCACTGACCCACCTGGTGTCCAGGGAGCCGTAGGACTGGGTCTGTGTGTCCATCAGTGTCTGTGTGTCCGGCACTGACTGGGGCCGTGTCCGTGTGTCCATCAGTGTCTGTGTGTCCGGCACTGACTGGGGCCGTGTCCGTGTGTCCATTGGTGTCCGTGTGTCCGGCACTGACTGGGGCCGTGTCCGTGTGTCCGTCAGTGTCCAGCACTGACCCGCTCTGTGTCCATAGACCTTCAGGGCCTTGTCCGTCTGTCCGTTGGTGCCGGTGCTGACCCATCCCTGTGTCCAGGAAGCCGTGGGGCCGTGTCCGTGTGTCCGTCGGTGTCCGTGTGTCCGGCACTGACCGGGGTGCTGGGGCCGCGTCCGTGTGTCCAGAGACCTGTGGGGCCGTGTCCGTGTGTCCATCGGTGTCCGTGTGTCCGGCACTGACCGGGGTGCTGGGGCCGCGTCCGTGTGTCCAGAGACCTGTGGGGCCGTGTCCGTGTGTCCGTCGGTGTCCGTGTGTCCGGCACTGACCGGGGTGCTGGGGCCGCGTCCGTGTGTCCAGAGACCTGTGGGGCCGTGTCCGTGTGTCCGTCGGTGTCCGTGTGTCCAGCACTGACCTGCTCTGTGCCCAGAGACCTGCAGGGCCCTGTCCATCTGTCCGTCAGTCCGAGAAGCATCAGGGCCATGTCTGTCGGTGTCTGTCGGTGTCCGTCTGTCCGGCACTGACCCACTCTGTGCCCAGGGTCCCGTGGGGCCGTGTCCATGAATCCGTGTGCCCACCCCTGACCCGTGCTGTGTCCAGGGGCCATGTCCGTGTGTCCCTGTGTCCGTGTGCCCATCCCTGACCCGTGCTGTGTCCAGGAGCTGTGTCCGTGTGTCCCTCTGTCCACATACCCACCCCTGACCCGTGCTGTGTCCAGGGGCCGTGTCCGTGTGTCCCTGTGTCCGTGTGCCCATCCCTGACCCGTGCTGTGTCCAGGGGCCTTGTCCATGTGTCCCTCTGTCCACATACCCACCCCTGACCCGTGCTGTGTCCAGGAGCCGTGTCCGTGTGTCCCTCTGTCCACATGCCCACCCCTGACCCGTGCTGTGTCCAGGAGCCGTGTCCGTGTGTCCCTCTGTCCGCGTGCCCACCCCTGACCCGTGCTGTGTCCAGGGGCCGTGTCCGTGTGTCCCTCTGTCCACATACCCACCCCTGACCCGTGCTGTGTCCAGGGGCCGTGTCCGTGTGTCCCTGTGTCCGTGTGCCCATCCCTGACCCGTGCTGTGTCCAGGAGCCGTGTCCGTGTGTCCCTGTGTCCATACACCCACCCCTGACCCGTGCTGTGTCCAGGAGCTGTGTCCGTGTGTCCCTGTGTCCGTGTGCCCACCCCTGACCCGTGCTGTGTCCAGGAGCCGTGTCCGTGTGTCCCTGTGTCCACGTGCCCACCACTGACCCGTGCTGTGTCCAGGGGCCGTGTCCGTGTGTCCCTCTGTCCATGTACCCACCACTGACCCGTGCTGTGTCCAGGAGCCGTGTCCGTGTGTCCCTGTGTCCGTGTGCCCACCCCTGACCCGTGCTGTGTCCAGGAGCCGTGTCCGTGTGTCCCTCTGTCCGCGTGCCCACCCCTGACCCGTGCTGTGTCCAGGAGCCGTGTCCGTGTGTCCCTCTGTCCACATGCCCACCCCTGACCCGTGCTGTGTCCAGGAGCCGTGTCCGTGTGTCCCTGTGTCCGTGTGCCCACCCCTGACCCGTGCTGTGTCCAGGAGCTGTGTCCGTGTGTCCCTGTGTCCGTGTGCCCACCACTGACCCGTGCTGTGTCCAGGAGCCGTGTCCGTGTGTCCCTCTGTCCACATACCCACCCCTGACCCGTGCTGTGTCCAGGAGCCGTGTCCGTGTGTCCCTGTGTCCGTGTGCCCACCCCTGACCCGTGCTGTGTCCAGGAGCTGTGTCCGTGTGTCCCTGTGTCCATACACCCACCCCTGACCCGTGCTGTGTCCAGGAGCCGTGTCCGTGTGTCCCTCTGTCCACATGCCCACCCCTGACCCGTGCTGTGTCCAGGAGCCGTGTCCGTGTGTCCCTCTGTCCGCGTGCCCACCCCTGACCCCCCTCTCTCCCCGCAGCGAGGAGAAGGCCGAGGAGAACCTGCAGCGGCCGCCCAAGGCCAAGAAGGTGAAGAAGGAGCGGAAGGAGCCGGAGCCGGCGCAGCCCGCGGCCGAGCCCGCCGAGGCCGGCAAGGCCGAGAGCTCGGAGGGGGCCGGGGCGGCCCCCGCGGCCCCCGAGGCGTCGGCGTCGCCCAAGCAGCGCCGCTCCATCATCCGCGACCGCGGGCCCATGTACGACGACCCCACGCTGCCCGAGGGCTGGACCCGCAAGCTCAAGCAGCGCAAGTCGGGGCGCTCGGCCGGCAAGTACGACGTCTACCTGATCAAGTGAGTGCCGGGGGGAAGGGGGGGGCTCGGGGAGGGGGGTCGAGGGCCGGGGGGGGGGAAGGGTCCCGCCGGCCGGTGCTGACGGTCCCTTTCCCTCCCCAGCCCGCAGGGAAAAGCCTTCCGCTCCAAGGTGGAGCTGATCGCCTACTTCGAGAAGGTGGGGGACACGTCGCTGGACCCCAACGACTTCGACTTCACGGTGACGGGGCGCGGGAGCCCCTCGCGCCGCGAGCAGCGACCCCCCAAGAAACCCAAATCGCCCAAGGGCCCCGGGACGGGCCGCGGCCGGGGGCGGCCCAAGGGCAGCGGCGGCTCCCGGCCCAAGGCGGCGGCAGCGGCGGTGGCGGCGGCTCCGGTGGCCGAAGGGGGGGGCGGCCAAGCCAAGCGGGCGCTGGAGAAGCCCCCCGGGAAGCTGCTGGTGAAGATGCCGTTCTCGCCGGGGCAGCCGGGCCCCGCCGCCCCCCCGGCCCCGCGGCGGCCGGGCCGTAAGCGCCGCGCCGAGCCCGACAGCCCGGCCGCGCCCAAGAAACGCGGCCGCAAACCCGCGGGCGCCGCGGGGCCGGGGGGGCCCGGCGGCCCCGACAAGAAGGCGGCGACCCCCCCCGCCGTGCAGGAGACGGTGCTGCCCATCAAGAAGAGGAAGACGAGGGAGACGACGGCAGCGCTGGAGTCGGCCGCGGCGGCTTCGGCCACGGCGGCTTCGGCGCGACCCCCCCCGACCCCCCCCGGGCCGCGGGGTCCCCGCAGCGCCCGCAGCCCCGGCCGGCGCAGCAAGGAGGGGAGTCCCAAGGGCCGCGGGGCCCCCCCGGCGCCGCCCCCCCCTCCGACGCCGCCCCCGCCGCCGCCGCCCCCCGAGCCCCCCAAGGACAGCGCCAGCGCCGCCCCCCCCCCGGCGCCGCCCCCGCCGCCGCCCCCCCAGGACTTGAGCGGGACGGGGTGCGCGGAGCAGAGGGGGGGCCCCGCGGCCCCCGACGGCTGCGCCAAGGAGCCCCCTAAGACTCAGCCCCCCCCGCCGCCACCGCCGCCCCCCCCGGCGCCCTACAAACACCGAGGGGAGCCCGAGCACAAAGACTCTGCCTCCTCCTCCTCCTCCTCCTCCTCCTCCTCCTCCTCTTCCTCCTCCTCGTCCTCCTCGTCCTCGTCGGCGCCGCCCCCCCCCAGCGCGGCCGTGCCGCGGCCCCCCCCGGCCCGCGACGAGCCCGTCGACACGCGGACGCCTGTGCCCGAGCGGGTCAGCTGACTGTGACGTCGCCGCACGGACGGACGGACCGACGGACGCACGGACGGGCCCCCCCCCGGCCCCTCCCCCCCCGAGGGCAGCGCGGCCCCCCCATCCCACCCCCGACCGCCCCCCCCCCCCAGTTTTTATTACCGACAAGCACAGCGAGGGCCGCGGGACCCCCCACTTTGCACTTTGGGCTCTGAAAAGGGGGGTGGGGGGGTTTCATCTGGGCCCCCCCGAGGCCGGGCAGGGGGTGTGGGGTGGTTGGGGGGGGGGGTCGGGGGTCACGTCTTCCCCCCCCCTCCCGGCGCCGCTTTTCTCGTTCTTCCAGTTCCGATCCGCGTTTTCCGCCCGTGGGAACCATTTGCACTAAGGAGGGGGGAGCGGCGGGGGCGGGGCCGGGATCCGGCCACCGTCCAATGGGGAGCGGCGCTGCCGAGGGGGGCGGGAGCGAGGCTGCGGCCAATCGGGAGCGGCCGGGATCCAGCGTGGAGCCAATCAGGAGGGGCGGCGTGGTGGGGCGGGGTCTGGTCTGAGAACCAATCAGGGGCAGCTTTGAGTTGGGCTGGGATCCAGCGCTGAGCCAATCAGGAGGGGCGGGATCCGGTCTCGAGCCAATCAGGAGCGACTCGGTTGAGTTGGGGTCTGATTTCGAGCCAATCAGCAGCTCTCAGTTCGTTTGGGATCGGGTGTGGAGCCAATCAGGAGGGAGCAGGTCTCAGGCCAATCAGGAGGGGCAGGATCTGGTCTCAAGCCAATCAGAAGCAGCGCTCAGGAGGGGGTGGGACCTGGACTTTGGCCAATCAGGGTGTCTCTGTTGAAGCGGGATCTGGTCAGGAGCCAATCAGGAGCAGCGCTCGGGAGGGCGGGGCCAGGTCTCGGGCCAATCAGGAGTGACTCAGCACAGAGGCGGGGCCGGGTCTGCAGCCAATGGGGAGCCGCGGTGGCGGGGGGGGATCCGGTGCCAGAGCAATGGGGGGGGGACAAAGAAGGGGGTGGGGGCGATGCCGGATCCCCCTGGATTGAGGTGGGATCGAGTCTGGAGCCAATCAGGGATCACAGCGGGTTGGACACTGTCCAATCAGGAGCTGGGGGCGGGGCCGGGATCCTGCGGGGGCGGGGCTGGATCCAGTCCCAGGAGCGACTCCAGGTCGAGGTGGGATCCGGCCACATTCCAGTCGGGAGTGGCTCTGGACTGGAGGGGCGGGGCCGGCCCCCATCCAATGGGGGGTCGCTCTGCCTTGGGGCGGGATCCAGTCACAGCCAATCAGGAGAGGCTGCAGGTGTGGGCGGGGTCCGGTGTGGAGCCAATCGGGAGCGGTGTTGGATTGGGGAGGGATCTGGTCTGGGGCCAATCAGGAGCGAGCGTGGACAGGGCAGGGACCTGGTTTGGAGCCAATCAGGATTGAGCATTGCAGGGGAGGGATCTGTTCCAGAACCAATCAGGAGCGAGTTTGAGTAGGGGAGGGGTCTGGTCTGCAGCCAATCAGGAGCAAGCGTTGTGTGGGAGGGATCTGGTCTGCAGCCAATCAGGAGCGAGCGTGGACAGGGCAGGGATCTGGTTTGGAGCCAATCAGAAATGAGGATTGCAGGGGAGGGGTCTGGTCTGCAGCCAATCAGGAGTGAGCTTGAGTAGGGGAGGGGTCTGGTCTGCAGCCAATCAGGAGCGAGCACAGGTGGGGGGGATCCCTTTGCCGGGGGGGGGGGGGTCCGATCTCAGTCCCCGCCCCCCGCCCACCCCTCCCCCACCACCCACGTGTCCCGTCCCGGGGGGGGGAGGGGAGGGGTCCCCGTCCTGCACTTTACCTGCCCGGGGGGGGGGGGGAGGGGTCACTCCCGGGTGTCCCCCCCCGCGCCCCCCCCCGTTCTTCCAACCCCCCCCGGGGGTGCCCTCCCCCACCCGGCTCCTCATGGCAATAACGGGGGGGGAGGGGCGGCCCGGACAGAGCAAACCCGGGGGGAGGGGGGGGCTCGTCCCGAGGGGGGGGGAGGGGCTCGTGGGGGCGCCGCGCGGGGGGGGGAGGGGGAGGGGGCCCCCCCGCACCTATTTATTCTCTCGAGTCACGCGGAGACGTTTTGCCTTATAAAGTTCCGGAGAAGCCCCTCGGTGTCGGTTGTTTCGGGGGTCCCGCGGCGCCGCCCCCCCCCCGGCCCCCCCCCGGGTCTGTGTCTGTGCTGCTGCTGCTGCTGCTGCGCGTGATCCAGCGATTATAAATCTGTGTAACCCACCTCGGCCTCCCGCGCCTCTTTCATCGGCCCCGGGACCCCCCCGGGGACCCCCAGAGCCCCCCAAATCCCCCCAGACCCACCTCGGCCTCCCGCGCCTCTTTGATTGGCCCAGGACCCCCAGGGACCCCCCCCAAATCCCCCCAGACCCACCTTGGCCTCCTGCACCTCTTTGATGGGCCCCGGGACCCCCCCAGGGACCCCCGAATCCCCCCAGACCCCCCTCGGCCTCCTGCGCCTCTTTCATCGGCCCCGAGACCCCCCCGGGGACCCCCAGAGCCCCCCGAATCCCCCCAGACCCACCTTGGCCTCCTGCACCTCTTTGATTGGCCCAGGGACCCCCAACAACTCCCCAGACCCCACCTTGGCCTCCTGCACCTCTTTGATTGGCCCAGGGACCCCCCCAGGGACCCCCCCCAAATCCCCCCAGACCCACCTTGGCCTCCTGCACCTCTTTGATTGGCCCAGGGACCCCCCCCCAGGGACCCCCAGACCCACCTTGGCCTCCCGCCCCTCTTTTGTCAGCCTCGGGACCTCCCCGGGGACCCCCAGGCCCCCCCAAATCCCCCCAGACCCACCTCGGCCTCCTGCCCCTCTTTGCATCAGCCCCGGGACCCCCCCGGGGTCCTGAGACCACCCAGACCCACTTTGGCCTCCAGTGTTTCTTTGGCTCAGTCCTGAGACCCCCCCGGGGACCCCCAGAGTCCCCCCCAGACCCGCCTCAGCCCCTGGTGCTTCTTTGACCCATCCCCGGGGTCCTGAGACCCCCCAGGGACCCCCCAGAATCGCTCCAGACCCACCCCCCACCTCCGACGGTTCTTTGGCTCGGTCGTGACACCCCCTGGGGACCCTCAGCCCCCCCCCCATTCCCCAGAGCCCCCAGACCCCCCATCCCCAGGACCCCCCCACATCCCCCCGGAGCCACCTCGGCCTCCCGTGCTCTTGGGCT